CGGAACCGAGCGCCCATTTTGAGGTTAGGAGCCCGCATTTATGTCTAGATTAAGTTGCTAAAGTTTCAGCTCTGCAGCTTTTATGGATCTCGAGATGAAAACTCGTTACTGGCGCACACACAGACACACATACATACACACACAGACAACCTCTCGACAATATGCGTTTTTGCATTGCTTCGCTGCAAAAAAACGCATAAAAATTCTTTGCTTTTGTTAACAGTATTCGTGTTCAACATACTTATAATCCTCATTTGCACACACGAATGTGAATGCTTCCATTGGGTTCCAGCTCACCGAATTCGGACGCAGTTTCATTGTGACCTGAACAAACACTATGAGTCTAAACAAATAAGGTGGAATAAATCCGATCAACACAAATACGAAGAAAATGGAGGAGAAACAAGAAATCAAAGCTCACTTTTTTCAGTGGACATTTTTGCCTAGTATCCAATAAAACAATCGTTCGATCACTACTGCATCCGACAATAACTTCTGGTTCGATCGGATTACACTTTACCGTGCATACTGAATCCACTCCGAGATTATAGATACGAACTGGAGAATCCCTGAAGCATGAAAAACTGTTTTCTGTACAAGCAGTTTATACTGCTCGCTAATCTGAGTTGGTTAAGCCAGTCAAAATCCGAAAATACACTGAATAAAACGAAGATGAATGGGCGAGAATCTGGGAGAACTTTGAGAAAATTTAAGAAATGAAAAGCTTAAATTTGCAAATATTGCTAAGAAAAATAACTATGGACTGAACACGTTCGAAACCAGTAGATTTTCATACCTCAACTGCTTCCACACGTGAATGCCTTCACCACAAGTGACATAATCCGTGCTATTCACTACATGGGATACTGAGAGGGCGACACCATTGAGCGGTATAGAATGTACCGGCTCGGAAATGTCGCCCTCGACGATAACCGGACATCGCCAGTGCTTCAGCTGAGAATCGTGCCCAACTGTTACGAAAGTCTCGCCAGATACATTGTCACAGGAAACGCCTAAATAAACTAATTTTAAGACTAAAAATTCCACCAATAAGTACACAGGCACACAGTTACTAGCAAGAACGCCTGGTGCAACACTGGGAAACTTTCGAGTTGCCGAACACAGCTAAGCCAGACTATCTCCCTTTAGGTTTGCCGCCTTCAGTTTTCAATTCTTACATCTGTATACACTCTTTTTGAAAATACTAATGGTCAATTGATGACACGAGCGTACCATTCCTTGACATGAACAACACACAACTGATCAGCCAACCAACAACACGATGTGCTCGTTGAATTTTGCATCCTCAAGGTATTTTACAAGATAAAACGAATTACG